TTTAAAAGCAGAATTGTACTTTATATAAAATCTCAATTAAATATTCAATAAAGATAGAGACATGGCCTCATCATTAACATTAAAAAAAAAAAAACTAATTGTTTTTATTGTAATCTAACTAATTTTCATTCTCACTGACATATTTATGTCAATACACTTTTATTTAAACAAATTATTCAAACATTTACTAATCAAATCATTTACTAATCAAATCATTTTTAGCAAATTATCTGATCTTAATATTTATTAAAAAAATGTTCTAATTCATAAAATTCTCCATTACCCAGTTCTTAATTTCTTATATATCTTACTTAACACATTCTATCCTAACCTTATTTTTAAGAACTTATTCCAAAATCACTTATATCAATAATTCAAAACTCTGATATATTATACAAAACTGTCTCTCAAGTTATTATTGATATTCTTCTTAATATTAATGAATAATCATATGAACAATTATAGAAAACATATTGCATTCATTTCTCTAACTAAAAAAAAACAATAAAATAAATCTCAATCTCAATTAATCAACAAACCTTTAATATTATTTAACTCAGTAACTAGGCATATATGTTTTCATAAAAACTATACTTATTCATATCTCTGTGAACTTTCAGATCAACTATATATTCACTCTAACATATGCCTTCCTATTGACCAAACAATTTGTAAAATTAATATTTGGTCTATTCTATGGATCAAATATAATATTTATTAAATTATATACTAAACATCCAAATTTAGATAAGCTTTGACCACTCTAGTAGGTTTAGATTGCAGATAAATTAGTCTGAGCTTTTATTATTGCATGTAATTTTTAATTTATTTGTTTTGTACAAATAGTAGTAACTGTATAGTTAGCAGTTTAATGGTTAACCCTAACTGCAAGTGTTGGCCTCGGTCATAGCATATATACATGTAACTATTTTAAATTATTAATAAAGATATAAGCAAGGCCTCATCTTAATACCAAAAAAAAAAAAAAATTACAAATTTTATATGTTTTACATATGAAATTTTGAATCATAAATTTTGTAATTTAAAAAAAATAAATTTCAATTTGTTTAACTCAATAAAACTCACATATTATAGAATATAAATATTGAATTTACTAATTAAATTAAAAGAAAATTTTTTAAATAAAAAGCATATTGACTTTTATGATTATATAAATTTCAATTTTTTATGCTTTACTATAAAATTGATCATCAGGCATTACTTTTGTTAGCTACTGTACTTATATATTTAGAGAGAATTAAATAAAAATGCAACTTGTGTATCGGTATTGCTTTACAAAAAAAATTGTATCAATAAGATATTACGTAACATCAATCCTATTTGAGTACCGATATTTAATTTTAAATTCCGATCGTAACTGATTTTTGGGCAACGTAGAGAGGTTCGGGCCAAAATAGAATATCCCTTTTGAAATTTACAAAATTCAACTAAATTATTGTCCCATATCCGAAATATTCGGCGTTATAGTAAATCTGTACAAAATCCGAAAGTTACACGAACGGTGGAGAATCTATAATTTGATTGGCTGTAATTAATATAAATAGAGCCGAATTTCATATTTAAAGTCAAATGTTTTCAAAAAAGCAAAATACAAATAAAACCAAAGAAATAAAATGTCATCTTTCTGAATTAGTACAATATCAATGTGACATACAAAAAAATAAAGTTGTATGTGTTCCATTTATAAGGATTTTCAAAAGGTATTATATTTTTATATAAATAGACATGTATAATGTTGTATATGTTTAAACTTTTTTATTTTTGTTTATTTATAAAGATGTCAAGGCAGACCAACAGTAGAAGTTACACCTATTTATGATTTAACTGGTAATCCAATATCTAATGGGTAAAGAAATTATTATATTTTTATAATTTTGACATGTTTGTATTATTAATGCCATTTATTAATAAACTGGTAAGTAATGGATCAATTTTTGATCTAACAGATTAAAGATTTTGTAGATCGGGATTAAATATAATTTTTGGTTTACCGTAAAGCAGCCAACTCAGGCCAAATATTATTAACATTGAAAGAAATTTATTTATTAAAAGAAGTGTATCAATGTGTATGTACATACAGGGGAAGCGAAAAGTGGGCTCGATTTTTCGAAAAAAAATTTTTAAAATGATAAACGGCAAACCCTGGAGGAAAACGAAATCTCTGAAACCTAATAAAAGACAAGACTCTAAAGTGATTTGTAGTATATGAAAGCATTCTGTATGATATCCAAATCAAAAACCCTGCAAAATTAAAAACTGTGCCTTGAATTTTGTAGCAGTAGCGAAATGTGGCTTATAGAAAATAAGATAATTTATTTGCACTACTACAAAATTCAAAATCAGGCGTAATGTAAAGCTTGACTCGAATAGATTAAAATTTTATTGATTTAGAAAAGGGATTATAGAATTAAAGGTTTAAAAATATAAATTGCTTTATTTCTTTCCGAATAAAAATAATACTAATGTTCGTAGACATATTCGTCAACAAACGGGATTATTGATAATACTACTCCTGATGCAGTACGTTTACCCGACTCTATTTCCCCAAAAATCCATTTACCTGTAATCGCCTGCCAAAATAAAATTTTCAAATTCTCACCAAATCCGAACCTAATTAAATATCAAAGTTTTTTTTTTGCTTGCGAATGTAATTTTACTACTGATCATTTTCTTGACAATTGTTACAAAAAAATCCTGGATATATGAAGGAAGTTAGCAACTGAAGATCTCATTAATGGTAAAAGTCATGTCAGGCAGAAACATTAACGGTCTATCAAGGTGTTTCGCAATCATGTCTCTATCCAAGAACTTTAAATTAAGTGCTCCATTATACGGCATTGCTGAAGTCAGGCATGAATTCATCACCATGTGTTGATCTGAAAGTTGCAGTAGTATTAGAGTGATTTGGAACATAGATATTATGGTAGTCATCAACGTTTAACACAAGTGCATTTCCCATATGCTGAAAAAGTGCATTCTCTGCGTATTCTTAATGAGCATCAGACATTCTTTTCTTTCCCCGAGTTACTGTCATTCCTACCGAATCTAAATAATTTGCAATATCTAACTTAAAGGCATTAATTTTCGTGTTGTTCAATAAAGCAAGCAAATAACAAATAAGAACCATTAATTTTTTCATACGATTCATAGTTTGCTCGTTACGTTCACACGGCCGAGCTGCTGAATAAAGCTGATCAAAGAAATCTTCTAAGATTGGTTCACTCTTGATGAAATTTTCGCATTTCATAAAATGCATAGATCGGGCGTTAAAATACTTTTGCCATCGCCTTAATAGCACCAGCGAAATCTATCATGTTTACTTTTTTCTCACTCGTGACTTTCATAACCATAATGCCTAAAAAAAATAAAGTCTACGTGAGTAAATCAAATGAATAACTTTGAGGAACAGTATTTTATTTTTTAACCTGAAACTTTCTCTGGACAATTATAAGATCGCCACAGTATATAGCTGTTTCGCCAACAAAACCAGAGGCAGAAGAACCCCCCAGGATTTACATGTCGGGGAACACTGGATTTAAAGACCAGAACCTTATAATATCCCTTGAAAATCGCTACCTGGCCATTTCGCCAACAAAGCCAGAGGCAGAAGAACCCCTCAGAATTTACAGGCCGGGAAACGCCGGGATTGAAAAGAAACACAAAAGGTAAAATCATACTTAACCTTTCAAATCGACGAAGACTCCCATGGCGCATGGAGGCTTTCACCCGAGACATCTTCTATATTTTCATCCGCTATAATTTCTGCTTCCCTAGATTTCTCATTTGTGATTCTTACTCGTTTAGTACTTTGGTAAAAGATTTTTTACAAAACACATGAAACAGCGATTACACAAAATGTTCTCCTTCCACGTTAATTTTGTTAAGCCTTTACTTTCAGCTTCTTCCACAATTCCGCCTTTAACGCTCGGAATTTGGACGATTCTGTGGTTTTGCACTCTACGCATTCCTTAACGTTAATTTCTGACAGTTAAATTAAAATATGAATATGTACTAAAGCTTCAAGTTAAAAAAATTTTTTATCAATTGTGTAACGATCTTTAAATGATGGAACGGGCATCCCGAGCTGCCGGCCAAAAAAATATGGGTCGTAGTATCACAAAAATTCCCTATATATCTAACATTAACAATCGTATTCTACGTATTAGTAAAATTTCATTCTGAAAATTTTTACTTAGAGGTCGGAAGTTAGCTATAATAGTAAATTTTTGCTTTATTTACGTTTTTTTTACAATTTCTTATGTTTTTCGCTACACGATATCCTGTGATTTTATTGGATCCGGGTAGAGTCGGAATTGATTTTCAGTCCGGGATTTTCTTGACATAAGGGTATCCGGTCTTTAATCACGTGGCATATGTATATCAGATTTTTCAGAGATATAGATATAAGAAAAAAGGCTATCGTTATCATTTTGTATATTTCTATCAGATAACGATAAGCTGAAAAATGCATTCTTTTGCTAGTGCAACAAGGCCTTTCTTTGGTTTTTCGTCGGGTTTAGGTTTCGTTTTGCCCCATTTACATAAAACGGTTTCGGCTAACAGCTATATAACGCAACAAGGTTTACCGAATAAAACTCATATTCTACACCTTTATCGTTCTCTCTTACGAGCAAGTAAAACCTTTTCAAATTACAATTTTAGTGCTTATGCATACCGACGAACCAAAGACTCATTCCATGAGCATAAAAATGAAACTAGACCGAATAAAATTGCAGAACTTGTTAAGAAGGCTGAACATGAATTAGCAGTTTTACAAAGACAGGGATATTTAAATAGTCTTTATGCTGTCGACAAATTGGTAGTAGAACAGATGAAAAAGAATTCTTAACGTATAGTTTTATCCTAGACCAGGTAGCTTGAAATATGATTGGTTAATTATTACTTTTTTTAAAAAAATCTTTTTTTTTAAAAAAAACCATATAAAATGGATAATAAATTTTTTTTTAAAAAAAAGAAAAAATATTATTTTTGTCACGGTCGTAATTTCGAACAATAAGTTTAAAGGTTATATAGCTCTTCAATATAAATTTTAATGCTTTTAATAATATTATAAATATTTTAGGTTTGGTTTTTTTATTTTAAATATAGTTTGTTACAAACTTGCTAGTTTTTATATTTTGTTATTGCATGATACGTCTGTTATTAAATATAATTAATTTATAAATAAGAGAAATCATTTTATTAATTTTTAATGAATTTTTATATAATTAATTTTCAAAATATAAATTTTATTTAGAATTTGTTGTAGCAATCATAAGAATTTAACTCTTTTTAACAATTACTTGAATCAAATTTCTATTAAACAGAAATTAAAAACTCAAGATTTAAAGTTAAGATTGTTTTAATTTTGTCAATAGATTGTCAATAAAATATTAAGACATAATATATTAAAATGCAAATATTATAAATATTAGAATATTTTGTTTTAGATTAATACTAATTAAAAAAATAAATTAGTAAAAACTTAGTAGCAAATTAGTTATATTGTTACAAATAATATGATCTTTTTAAAATAATACAAGTAATTTATTATACAGCAACAGAATATATATTAGTGTATAGAGATGGCAAATGTTTTAAAACAACATGTTTTAAAACATTAATTTTTTTAAATAAAAAACATGATTTATTACAGACCAATTATATTATAGAATTTATTATATAATATATAGATATAATGATCAACAATTTTTAAAATAAAGTAAAAATAAATACTAAACATTTTTTTTACCAATTACCAAATGCTTAATGTAAATATAAGTTTTAATAAAAAAATATAGATGACAGTTAGAAAAAACTTGTAAAATAATTTATTAACAATAAAGTTTATTGTTAATAAATTAATATACTAGTTTTTTTTTAAACATACTAGTAGTTATTTAAAAATTAGTAATAAACATATTTCTTAAACATAATTATTTATTTTATATAACATAATTATTTTAACTTTTAATCATTATATAAAATTCAATAAGTAAAAAAATAAATTATTTATATTGCATATTGATTTGAGTAATAAAAAATTAGAATAAATTAAAGCTTAGTAAGGTGTTGAGTATTTTTATTTTACTTTATAAAAACAATTCAAAAATATATTGCAAAATTTGATGAATTTTTAAATTCTTTACTTTGAAATCAATTAAATATTCTAATACTATTAGATAATAGAAATTAAATTTTAAGCAAAATATTCTTTGTTTGTAAATTTAGTAGTTAAATTATTATCAATATCAACTTTATTAGCTTGGTCACAGTTTTGATTTATTTATAGCAAATCATGTGCTAGATTAGGTAATGATAAAGTTAAAAAATTAGTTGCTGTATTTCAAAATCTTAAAATTTAAAAAAATTTTGTAGAGAATAATTAGTTTAATGAATTATAATAAAAAATTTAATTTTAATATTAAAGTTTATTATATTAGAAAATT